TCCTCCCCGGATTCGTAGCTCTCGATGCCAGGGATGCCAGGGTCGGGGTCTTGGGCTTCAAAATCGCCAAGGGGATCCTCGGGCACAGACTCTAGAAGAACTTCGACCTCAGACTCACCACTGGCATCGTCACGTTCTTTCTGCTCCTCCTGATGCAGATCCCCAAAGAACATCTCATAAGCGTTTTTCCTCGACTCTGCCCGCCGCTGCCGCCTCTCCGCCGCATGCCCCTTCGCCGGCGCGGACTTAGAGCCCGCCGTCGGCGCCGCGCGAGGCCAAGCCATCTGCGGCAACCGCCGCGGCAGAGACAGGCATCGCGCCACCAGCTGCGCAGCGCTGCGGCGGAGGCGGACCGCGAGCCCGATGCACGGCCGCCAAGGTACCCGAACCTCGGGCAACACTCCACGATGCACGAGGCTGCAATCTCCGAGCCCAGGACGTAGTCGATGTGCTACTGATCCTTAGAACCCAGGTTGCAAGTGGCCTCGACTGGGGCGGTCTTGATGACTGGCCGTCCGAGCAGTCGAGAGAGGAAACTAGATCGTTGGAGGACATCTGCCGTGACGTGGAAATCCCCCACAACGAACCACGGCAGCCTGATGGAGTTGAGCATCGACCCCAATCGATGATATCGCCCCAAGTTGGGCCCACTGAGTCCGATGGACGGGTGGGCGTAGAAGACTATGGCCACGATCGAGTAGCACTGCAAGTGGAGCACTGCCGCCGTGAAGCCGCCCAACTGGCTGTGACCTGGCGTCGCCAGCGGTCGACGGGCAGCAGCTCCAAGGAGAGACTGAAGTTGAAGATGGCCCTTCGCGAGGATCCACTCCCCGCCCTCGTTGGCCCTCGCCTGCTGTGACTTGGCCACTCGCTTGTCACGCGCACGTACACAGTTACCAAGTAAACGACGTGTGGCCGCTCGGGCATTCATTTCCCATGCGCGGAGATCCCCATCGCTGACATGAGTTTCCACAGCCCCCAGGGAGTCGCGTCGGCTAGAAACAAGGTGCTGCCAAGTGGATGTCTTCGCGTCCGAGCCCGGCGGCACCTGCAGCGTGTCCTCCTGCGCGCCGTCCGCGAGCGAGGGCTCCTCCAGCAGCGCGTCGAACGGCGCGCCCTGCGGCCCTCGGTCGGCCCCCGCGGAACCTAGTCACGACTGCTGGGCCTTAGGCGCCGCGGGCTTACCCTTGCCCTCGGCGGGGGCCGCTGCGCCCTTGCCCTTGCCGAACGTCATGGTGGCGTTCTGCTTCTGCTCCTCCAGCAGCTGCGCCTGCGCCAACCGCTTCGCCTCCGTCAACTTCGCGGCCGCCTCGCGCAACGACGGGTCGTCGTCGGGGTCCCCCCCGACGGGCACCTGGGCCGCGGGATCCCCGCCAGCGGGGGCTGCTGGGGTCGCCGCGGGGGCGCGCTGGTCTGGGGCGCTGCCGGCGGCTGGCCTGCTGCCTCGGGCGTCGCCGCCGAAGCCGCCGCGCCCCGCGAGGCGTCCGCCGCTGCGTCAGCTCCCTCGACCTTGCGCTTCTTCCCGAGCCTAGTGTCTACTGCGGCGCGCACCGCCGCCGCCTTCGAGAGGACCGCGTTCACCTCGGTCCCCTTCTGACCGAGAAGACTCTGCAGCTTTGCGAGATCCTCCCGCAGCTTCTACAAGTCCGTGCGATCGGCCTCCTCGCACTCCAGCGTGTCGAGCCCCTCGAAGATGCTAGTGTCCCACCGCAACTCGAAGCGGGCTGCTTCCGACGGCGCTGGCCCAGCAGCGGGCGCGCTTGGCCCTAGGCCCTCGGCCGCCGCGAGCACCGCCGTCGCCTGGGTCTTGGCGCGAGCCGTTTGCGCCAGCTGCAATCCCGCGGCAGCTTCCTTCTCCTTCGCCACGGCGAGCGCCTGTTGGATCCTGACCACGTTCACAACAGCCTGGGCGTGCTTGTGGTCGGCATCCTTCCAAGCGCTTACCGCGCAGCGCACCGCCTCCGCCGCCGCGTGGGCCGCGTTGGTGGTGACCGACGGAGACGGCTGCTGAGGGTCCGGCAGCGCTTAGCGCGCTTGCACGGAAGCCTTCAGCGTTTGGTCCTCCGTGCTCTTGATGGCGAGACGCAGGAGGGACAGCTCATCCTGTGGGACGGGCTGGCGCGAGAAGTCCTGGCCCTTGCCGCCCTTGCTACCTGCTGTGCTGTCCTCCTGCGACCCCTGATCGTATTTCGGCGTGTGCAACTTCACCTGACGATGGCAAGACGGGCATTGCTTACTGATGGGGAGAAGCGTGGTGTTCCACTCCGCGCGTCCGCAACTGCAACGAGACCAAATATGCCCATAGCTCGTCATGGGAAGAAAACTTGGATTCCCCTGTTTTCGTCGTCCTCTGGGGCGGCTGAGTGGAGAGCCCGAGAGGGAGTGCCCCAAGCACCCCGTGCAGGCACAGGGGACGGGCTCACCAAAATGGTTCGAGCCCAAACCGCGCTTGAGTGAGGAGGAGGAGGAGGAGGAGGAGGAGGAGGAGGAGGAGGAGGAACGGGTGGGGAACTTTCCAGGCTCACAAGGCCTCGGGTCTTGTGGGGAGCTCTCTTCACCTCTCCGAAGACCCGCTGGCCTTCTGAGGAGGCTGGCCCCCTCTCGCTTGCATCCTCGACGCGCCTCCGAGGGAAGCCAGAACGAGCCGACCCACATCCGGAAACTCTACCCGCCCTGTGTTGCCCAAATTTGCTTTAGCATAGGGGGGCTCTTGCTTGTTCATAACAATGGCGTGTTCCGAGACGTTTGCCCGCGCCGTTGATGTGGATGTCTTTGTTGTTGGGAAGGCCTTGCGGCCGGTGCCGCCGAGCCTGAAGGGGGATGACGACGAGGACGACGTCGACGAACGAGGAATGTCGACGGAATATCGACGACGACACTTGACGTTTTTGGGGCCGACGTTGGGGTAACAGTTTCTTCTGGGCGCTAAACACGGTCGAACATTCTGGCGACGAATACGACGACGAACGACGAATGTCGACGGAAGACCGACGATGACCATTGACACAGTTGGGGCCGACGTTGGGGGTAACTGGTTCTGCTGGGCGCCAGACGTTGTCGAAGATGTTGGCGACGACGACGACGACGGCGACAAACGACGAATTCCGACAGAGGATCGACGACGACAATTGGCGTTTTCGCAGCCGACGAATGGGTCACATCTTCTCCCGGCCGCCAGTGGTTGGCTGCCCACACACATATATGTATATAAAAATATAAATATAAATATATATATATATATATATATATAGATGTACACATTCACGCATTTCCGTTGCCGCAGTCTCTCCCCGGCTGGGCCCCCCTTGCAGCAGCCGCCCCCATCCCAGGGCCCCGCTTCTCATCAGAGGAGGAGGTACCTATATCGCTACTCTCATCTCGTTCTCGCTTTCTTGGGTCCCCTGGGAGGCCCTCGTCGCCACCGCTGGATTCGCTTCCACATTCTGGCCAGGACGCAACCCGGGAGAGGTCCGGGAACTAGCGGTATCAGTACCTTTTGGTTTCCCCATCTGAGGGCCCCCCCTAAGGCCAGGACTCGGCGGCAAACTGTTATCCTTATTCTAGCCGATCAACGGTTTAGGCAATTCGATGGGCGGCTGAGGTTGGGGTTCAGAATTCGTCGAACACGTGTCGAAATGCGAACCCTACGCCCGCCCCCAATCGATTCAGGAGAATCGATGGATGGTTGGGGCAGTGTTCGGATGCCGGCACCCAAGGACATTTGTTGCCCAGGACTCTGACCATCCCACCTGCGAAACGCAAAACAAACGGGGTCGACATCGTGCAAGCTGTCCGCGCGGGGTCGCGCGGAAGCAGCGTCTTTTTTCCATCTAGCGTGCCGCGCTGGCGGCCTGCGCAAGCCACCGCGTAAGGTCAGTAGGCCAATATCCAGGAGGGGAAAAAACACACACAGACACAATTAATCGTCGATTCCCAAGAAAATATGGGAAAATATGGGAAGTGGGGGGGAAGACAAAAACACAGAAAATATGTGAAAATATTGGGGCTATTTTTATTAGTGTGTATTCATTTGTGTGTCCTGGGGCCCCTTCAAATATGCGTTAGACCGGTCACTCGCCGTCGCCCGCATGGGAGCAGCGAAGCAAGGAGCATATCTCGACCCACGGGCCGCAGTTCTCTCGGGTTGCGCGAGAGTCCTGGCTGACTCGTGGGTCCGTTGGCGGAGCTCCCCCTGAGAATTCCGCCCCGGGCAGGATTCCTGGTAATTCACCACGCCTTTTTGCAAAAACCCAAGGATTGCCAAAAAACTGCTGGGTTTTTTTTGCAATCCTTCGAGTCGGTCCCAGGGATCTTCTGGAGACGGGCCCCGGGCGCCGAAGTCCGGGAGTCCCGAAGCGGTGTGGGGACCAGTGTCGGGTGGGTCAGCGACAGTTCGGTGTGAGCGCGCGGTTCTGGACCCGGGTCTTTATCCGTGGGTGTCTCAGGCGGCTGCGGCCTCCAAGTGCCCCCAAAAACGTGCGGTGACGCACCGTGCGCTGAGGCCTTCTAAGGGTTCGAGGTCGCCGCCCGGCGCACCGATCTGGGATCCCGACGAAGTTCCTCGCCCGTTTCTCGCGAAGCATGGCGGTCTGGGGATGCTTTACCACCGCCAGCCCCGCGGCGGCCGCGACGGCGGCCGGGGGAGCGGCAGCTCGACCTCTGGGGCCGCTCTGGGCACCAGGCCATTTTCGGACCGCCCGCCGCCGTCGTCGTCGTGGTTGTCGGCGTCGTGCACCGCCATGGTGTCGGCGAGGTCGCCGTCGCCGTCGTCGTCGTCGGCGGCGGCGTCGCCGTCGTCCTCGTCGCGCGCCGCCGTCGCCGTCGTCGCCGTCGCGCGCCGCCGTCGTCGCAGCGGTGCTGGGCGCCGGTCGTCGTCGCCCTGCGCCGCCGCTGCCGCCGTCGCGGCGGTGGTCGCTGTCGTCGCCGTCGTCGTGCGGCAGCGTGGTCGCCGCGGCGGTGCTCGTCGTCGACGCGTCGCGGCCGCGCGGGGGGGGCGCCAGGGCAGCCGGAGCGCGGCGCCGCAGCAGCCGGCGGCGAGCAGCCGCGGGAGCGCCCCGGCAGCCAGCCCCAGCCGCCGCCGCGGCCTCCGTCGCGGGGGGAGGGCGTGCGGCCCGTGCTTCGGCGGCGCCGAGACTTTTATGTTGGGCCTGTCCCTCTACAGGGGGAAGATTCAAAAAGAGTCAAAAAACAATCTGGGGAGTAATGTTTGAGTATGTTTGACCATTTGGGACTATTTTGGGGGTATTTTTATTTTTCGTCGACAATCCCTCTGACACGCCCGACGTAAGCCCAGACGTGGGGCGGCGTCCAGGGTCTGGAAGGTCCAGATCCGCCGCCTGGGGGAGCGACGTCTTGATGACCCAGAGTGCGGCGGACGTGGATGTTAATCTCAGAGCGAGGGGGCCGCGCAGTCTTGCACCACCCCCGGATGCTTGGGTGAAGTGGGATCAGGTGGCACGCATTCTGCTCGTGTGTTACAAGTGTGCTGTTGGGTGTTGTGGTCGTCGTGGTCGTCGTGGTCGTCGTTGTCGTCGTCGTCGCCGTGGTCGTCGTGGTGGTGGTCGTCGCCGTCCCCGCGACCGACCAGCGACCCACCCTGCGGCCCACCCCGCGAAGCATCCGCGACCCAACCCGCGCCAGCCCCGTCACTCTTATCCGCAATGGCGGGGTGCTGCGTATTTTGCCCCCAGGGGGGCCATCCGTATCCATATCCGCTGCGTGCCATGGTCCCCGAAGATAGATCCCCCAGGCTGTGGTGTTGCATAAATCCTCGCCTCGCACGGCGGAGGGGGTTGCCGTTTTTTCGTCGTCTTCGTGATGAGTTTGCTCCTTCTCCTGGTTGTCCTATTCATCCTCTTTCTTGTCCTCTTTCTGCTTATCTCCCTCCCTCTCCACTTCCTCCTCTTCCACTCCGCCAGTGGGACCCCCCAGAAACGCGCTGGACCCCCGAATCCCCGAAAGTCTCCTCATCCTTCCCCTTCTCTCGCTGCCAACGACCATGGCGACGCCAAAGGGTTCCAGTGTCCCAGACCATGCACGTGGATGATCACACACAGCAATGAGGAGGGGCAAGAGGAGGACGGAGGACGGAGAGGGATCAGCCTCTATGTATGGCTGGCGGGTTCCCCCGCGTTGGCCTAGGGTCCCGATACGGATACAAGGGGAACAGGAAGGGCACAAGTGCGGGGTCCAACGGGTCAATGTCATCGCCAGTCTCATCTTCGAGGCTCGACATATTATTGAAAACGCATGCCACAATCAGCTTGTCAAGGCTTCTTCAGCTGAGAACTCGAACATGCATGACCTCCAGTGCTTCTAGGTTGGTCGCAAGGGTGGAGGGTGTGGAAGACGTGGCATTCGGTTCGAGGTCTTGCCTTTGTCTGTTTCAAGGCTTTGGATGAGTTGGCGGATCTCAGGCAGAGTCTACTATAGATGGCAGGTCTGAGCACGTCTCTACAGCCTTAGAATAGCAAAGCTGCCCCCCGCCGCAGCGCAGCCTCAAGAGTGAGGCTGGCACCCGCCGCCTCTGGTCCACGGATGTCCCCCATGGATGTGCCAGGGTCCTGGAGGTCTTGGGGCCCTTCTGGCTTGAGAGCGGAAGCAGTGTCATACAGTCAACGCGCCTAGTAAGGACGCGCGCCTTCATCTAGGATGCCCGTGAGTCCTTGCCTCTGTGGCCCGTCCTTTGCCGTTTTCACGGGTCGCCGCCGCCCCAAAAAACCCAACTTCAGCCTCCACGGGTCTTGCGTTCTTGCCACGCGTCCTTGGTATACGTTTTCACTGTGTATTGCAGCAGCAATTTGGTCAGCGAGGATCATGCCTGAACAACGTTTGTAGTGAGAGCTCGCTACTGCTGTGGTTGGTACTGCTGTGAGCACCACTCTATGTTCGTCTCTGTCACGGTTCCTAATACAACTAGTGTTAGATTCAAAACACATGCATCAATCTATATTTATGTTGTAGTGCTATTTGAGCGGGGATCCCTTGGGAGTTGTCGGCAGACTCAGTATTACTCCCAAGGCTGCTCACACTGAAATGTTAAGCCTGGAACTTCTGAAGCGGTCGGACTTGTACCCCTTCTCAGGGCAGGTCCACAGATCTTTGTTGGCGGAGTTTAGGTACAGCCGGCGTATCTACATTTGTTGGCCAGACTCTGTGCAGTCTTGACGTCGTCCGTTGCTGAGGCTTGGACAGCCTCTGCCATGATTGGCCTGAGCTCGGCACACCTCCGAGGGAGACAGTCCTTCGACCCATGCCGAAGGTGACGCATTCTCTCCTCCTCCTCCTCCTCCTGCTCCTCCTATTCGTCCTTCTCCTCACGTTCTCGTTAATTCACATGTGCTCCTACCTTTCTCGTTCCTTGTTGTCGTGGTGGTCGTCCTCCTTGTCGTCGTGGTCGTCCTCCGTGTCGTCGTGGTCGTCGCGGTTCTCTTCCTCCTTGTCGTCGTGGTCGTCCTCCCCCTCGTCCTCCTCGTCCTCGTCCTCGTCCTCCTCCTCCTCCTCCTCTTCCTCCTCCTCCTCCTCCTCCTCCTCCTCCTCCTCCTCCTCCTCTCTGTTGTCGTCGTGACTGGAGGGGGGGATGCTGCTGGGGAAAGGGGAGGGGGCAGCCGGAGGGGCAGCCGGAGGAGCCCTCCCTACACCCACCTCCTCCAGCTTGCCACGAGCGGGGGGGGGCAGGTCCGCGCCCGAGCCGCCGAACATGCCCCCGCCGCCCTCGCTGATGGGGGGGATGGGCGCGCACTTCGGCGCGCCACCCCCTGGCGCCCCAGGCGGGGGGAAGGGGGCGCACTGCTGCCTCCGCCGCGGTGGCCCAGCCTCCTCCCTGGCAGCTGCTCACGGTGCCACTCTCTTCGTCCCGCAGGGGGGGGGGGGGGGGGCGGGGGGCACTGCTGCTTCCGCCTGTTGCCCGGCTTCCTCCCTGGCAGTTGCTCACACTGCTGCTCGCCTCGCCTCCCCCTGGCAGTGCCCAGCCGCGGCGCCTCCCTTCGGCGCCCCTTGTGGAGGGGGGGGGCATGGCGATGCGCTGTGCTGCCCCCGCCGCTGCAGCCCCAGGCTCCTCCTCGGCAGGTGCTCGCAGAAGAGTCGGACCGCGGTGTAAGACAGCGGTCGGTTCGGGGAGGGTACCCTGATGTTCTTCTTGCTTGTCGGATGCTCCTGTGCATCCTGGGAAGGGTCGCCTTGGATGTTCTGTTTGTTTTGGCCGACGGAGGGGGTCGCGCGTTCTTGAAGAATGCTCTGCTGGCCTCGGTGCGACTGTGCTACGGTCAAGGCGCTGCAGTGAGGACCAGCTTGGGCTCAGGAGGGGCTCGGGGTCCAGGGCCGCCTCCTAGGTTCGGGTCGGGGCCCCCACTCGTGGCCGAGGCGCGACGTGGCCAGAGAAGCACATCTGTTCCTCACTCTCTGCTCCTCGTGGTAGCACGGCGACTGCACTCTCTCCTTGTTCTCTCCTGGCGACGCCCAGCGGTGCCAACGCCCCTCCAGCGCACTGCCCTGTCCACGCGCGGGATGTCACGTGCTTATCCACGTCGGAACATCTCTGGTCGGGCGGGCGCCCCTCCTCCTCGTCTTCCTCCTCCTCCTCCTTCTCCTCCTCCTCCTCCTCCCTCCTCCTCCTCCTCCTCCTCCTCCTTCCCCTTCTCCTCCTCCTCCTCCTCCTCCTCCGTCGGGACATCTCTGGTCTTGCCATGTCTGGTGCTCACGTGGTGCGTGGGCCGGAGTTCCGGAACGGGGCCCTGCCTCCGTCGTTTTCGGAACGGCGGTCTCGCCCCAGCCCAGGCCAGACTTCTGGATCCGCTTGCACTGGACGCCTCGTGGGTGCCCTCAGCGCTTGCACCGCACAGCCTGCACCACGCAGCCTGCGTCGCACGAGCAAGTGGCAGCGCATAGCCTGCGCCTGAAGGAACTGGTCTCCGACGCGCCTCGCGGGCCGCCCGCCCTGCACACCGCGACCGCCAGGCCCACATAGCCCGGGCGAGCCCTGGGCCCCCGGGCACCCGTGCAGCATCACCCACCCTGCATACAGTCAGGGCCCTGAAGAAGGAACCCTTTTGGTTGGGGAGGGGCTCCGCGTTTCTGAAGTGCTTCACAGCTTGCCTCAGGTATTCCTTATGTTTTCGTTCGGAAATCGAAGTTTAACTTATGGAAAAAAGGGGCCTCGTTCCTTATTTAGGGTTCCTTAGGTCAACGCCCCGACTGTACCGCGGCGGTCGCCACAGTACTGTGAACCCGCATGGTGAGGACGGGCAGCCTTCCCATTTGAGGGGTGCCCTTGCATCCTTGCCTCCTCGGCCCACCCTTGGCAACTCTCGTGGGCCGCGCCCCGCTCGAACGGCTTCAAGCTGGGCGTTCAAGGTCCTTGCAAACTTACCGCGCATGCTTATGATTCGGGTCGACTGTGCCGCGCCCGCCAGGCTCCAATACGCAGTCCAGGGTGTTCCCTGGTACCCCGCCCGGCGTACCGCGGGCCCCAGAAGTCCGCGTGGTCCTTGGGCGTCCTGCCTCGCCCGCCTTGCGTACCGCGGCCGCCAGGCCTCGGAAATTCCCGAGAGGCCAACGCCGAGATTACGAACAATCGCAGAGAGCAGGCGTGAGACGTGACGCCGTCCAGGCGTCACGACGTCACGGCGTTCACAGGCATTTCGAAGGGTCGTGAGGAGCGTGCACGTAGAACTTGCACCAACACCATGCGCTGGGAAATGACAGCACGAACATACGCCAATTGTGCACGCCAATGGCAGGCATCAAGAACGTACGCTGAATACATACACCAACAACGCACACCAGCAACCTACATGAATTCAATACATGAGTCCCAGGCACCACGCACGTACACACCGAACAGACAATACTAGCAGACATACAGCAAACACATACGCCCAACACATGCGTCAATAACAGACACCGGATGCACACATCAGTCCAGGGTACGTAGGAAAGTAACAACGAGCAGACACGAAGGAGAGACACGAAGAACATGCACAGTAAAACCAGACACCCGCAACACATCATTGTCATGTGCCAGCGTCACACTTGAATTCTGATACCAGTATCATACATCAGGAACTGACACCCACACGATCCCACAGTAGACATCAGGAACAGCCACTTGCCGCATACACACATATATCTACTACACAACGATGACAGACGCTCTGACCAGACGCCGCTCATATGCACCAGAAAATACAACGATCCGACACACGGAACAATGAAGAGTGGGCGTCAAGGTCATATGTCAAGACCAGACATCGGGAAGAGGCACCGATAACGTACATCAGTAACATACATAAGAGCTTCTTTTCAATATATATATATATACATACATACATACATACATATATACACACATACATATATATATATATTGGAAGCCGTTTTCGTTGATCGTGTCCCACCTTGTTCTTGCACATGTCAAACAGGTGGAAGTTCCTTGCCCCGAAACCGATGTTATTACTCTCCCGGCTGGCCCTCGACGAGTCTTTGTAAACATTTGCAAAGAGGAGCGCACGGCTCACGCGCGCCCGCCTTGATCCTAAGGCGAAGTGGGAGAGAACAAGTGCACTGCCCCCCTGCTGCCAGAGACATTGTTGTGTCTTCGTCATGGCGCAGCGATCACGTATACATGATACGCAATTTGGGTTAGCGGGCCCGCGGTCGTAGCGGACTTGAGCATGTCGCGGTCTATACGCGGCGGGCACGTCGGACATATTCCCCCTTGTCCGCGCCTCAAGTTGGATGATGAAGGTGTACTGTCGCATGCACTTTCGTGGCCCTGGCTTTTGCGCGACTGTTGTGGGACTGTCATTTATGTCGCTGCTCGGGTCTGAGCGCGACGGAAAACTGGACCTTTGCGTGTCTCCCCCTCGCCTTGGCCAGCACGAATAACACGTGTCCCATCTGTGGTTGGCCCTCTTTTGGCACGTGGTTTGCTTTCCGAGGCTACGGCTTGACAGCCCATATATGCAGGATGAGAAGTGAAACGATTGCCTCAGGGAAGCCCTTGGATCCAGGACCCCTTTCCACCAGGGCCCACTGATGTCGTGTTACCTTGTTACCTTGGATCCGAGGTTAAATGTGTCGCTTCTGGTTGGCAAGGTGGTATTTTTACATTTGCATTCTTTAGACCAGAAGTTCCATTTGCTCGTAATGCGACTGACGCCGCAGTTGAGCATCGCAGGTGGCGCCACAGTTGGGCATCCAGGCTCTGTCTGTGCCGTCCTCTGCCCGCCGAGAATCCTGCTGCGAGAGGTCTGCGCATGCATCTGGGCGCTGGCCGGAACAGCAGCGGATTTCCAGATCTGGTGTCCAGGAAAGGAGGAGGAGGAGGAGGAGGAGGAGGAGGAGGAGGAGGAGGAGGAGGAGGAGGAGGAGGAGGAGGAGGAGGAAAGGGCGGGCAACCCTCTCCGCTCCCCGCTCTCGCTTTCCTGCAGCGCGGGCCCGGGGTGGAAGCCTCGCGTAGCACCCTTCGCCTGGGCCGGTGCGTCCCGCACTTTTGGGCGCTCGCGGAGGGCGTCGGGAGGGGAGGCGCCCCGATCCAGCAGGACTCCGACTGGTTCCAGGCCCGGGATCCAGCCGACGTGCATCTTTCGGGGCTCAAGGGACGGGGGTCAATGCAAACGAGGGTCAGCTGCAGCATGGGATGTTGCAGGATCCTGCAGAGCCAGAGGTGCATTGACCCTGGCGTGCGTGCAGGATCCTGCAGGATACTGTAGGATCCTGAAAAGCCTGACTGACCTTGGTTTGGATTGGCCCGGGTCAGGAGATCCACGGGTTAATTTCAGTCGGTCGAGTCCGCCCCGTGCGTGCCCACATGTGGGCGTGCGGCCGACCGAATATTTGCCAATGAGAGGGGCAAGTGTGTGTTTTTACTTGGTCTATGCTTTCAGCGCCTGCAGACTTTGCCTCATCCCCTAGGTGTGGGGGCGATGCAGCTCCATGTCCACTGCCAGGTCGCCTCAGCAATGGCAGGCCGCCCCAGCCACTCCTGCCGATGCTCTTCGTGCGGTGTCTTCCTCCCCCGCCCCGGCCGCCTTCCGCGGCCTTCCTCCGCCCTGTGCCGCCGGACAATTAGTACGCCGTGCGTAGGGGGGACACCAGAGCGCGCGTGCGGATTGCGTTTGCCGCGCTGCGGCGGAACCGAGTGTGTAGGTGTGTGATTGTTTGCGCGCAGTTGCAAGCATCGCGCCGCGCAGGCCCACACAGTGCTCGTGCATCCCGGCCCACGCACGCATCGGAGGTTCGGGGTTTGAGGACAAAGTGATTCCAACTAGGAAATCGGGTTTCGGTTTTGGCTCGTGTCGCGCGTGCGCGCGAGGCGGCGCTGCAGTATAGCGACGATGTGCCGGCGTAGCCAGGGCCACGCCGTGCAGCACCTTTCTTCTCCGGTTGCGCAGTTCCTCGTCGTAGTTGTCCTTCGATTGTCTCGTGGTTGTGCCACGGTTCTCCCGTGGGCTGTCCCATGGTTGGTTCGTTGGTTGTCTTGTGGGGTGTCCCAAGGATTGTCCCGCTTTCCCTGTGGGATGTCTTGCGGGTTGTATTTTGGTTGTCCCGTGGATCACCCAGTTGGTTGACCTGTGGTTTGTCCCGTAGTTCTTCTGTGGTTTGTCCCAACTGTGTCCCGTCCATTTCCATGTGTATGTCTCATACGTTTTCCCGCGGTTGCGGGTTGCCCCGTGGGAGTTGCAAATCGACATGTTTGCCCATCTTCATGTTGCCGTAATTGGAATGCGTATCGAACAGCAAGTTCAATTACAGTTGGATTATGGACCAGTACTTCGAGGTGCACATCAAGTACCCTATCGATTTACAATCGCATTTGCATGGGCAATTCCGCATCAAATTGAGATCTAAGCGCACGTCGACGTGCACATCCATCTGTAGCAGATATGGACCGATTCGAAACTCAAAGTTTGTAATGTACACTTATGTGCAAAACGATGTACCATCGATATATACACCGACATTCAAATACAGTTCCAAATGCCAGTGTAATCCTACCGCAATTATCTATGCTAACCGAACTGCACATCGGTTTGCCATTCCCCCGCAAATGTTTATCTTCACCCAGTGGCTGGTACATGGTGTCTAGGTGCTGCTATGGATAATCAGCGCTTACATGTAAGTATTGCCTGCTTACGCATGCTCATGCAAGGCTTGCCGTACAACTACTATTTCCAGTCCGCTCTCCCCGACAATCCTTCAGTCGGACATCAGCCATGCACCTGTTTTGACAGTGTAGTGAGCCAGAGCCCGTGACACCATGATGCACGTTGTATCTGCGAGCGCCACATGTCAGGAATTCATGGTTGCCGTGTTGGGCGACGTCACAGCACTCATGTCCCTGTGTAGCCAACGAAGGACCGAGCGGCTAAGGGCCTGGCCGACACAGCGTCGCCGAGGATGCCCGTTTTTTGGAGGGTTTTCCCGAGCCATCGTTGGGGTATCACGTATCAGGGCTGCGGGGGCTTCGTCTTCAGGAGCCGTTGTGGAGGTCTTTGAGCGGCTCCTGAGGCCATCCTGGATCATCCCTTGTTGGAGGGCTCTGCATGCTGGCAGCTGAAGGTCCGCAGGATGCCCATTTTCACCACTACCATGCCCGGCCAGGGCCAGGCATGGTGGTTTAGGTGCCTTTGCATATTGATGGAGGGCTTCTTGGGGTGCACATTGGAAGCTTCCCCGCCAGTGGGGCATTGGTGGAACAGCAGACGCCAGCCTGCGAGCCCCAGGGTGATGGTACCATGGTGGTGCTTTCGTCGCGGGGCAGCCTCTGTCAAGCACAGTGCAAAGCGCAGTCTTCCCTTTGCCCTCTGGGTCGACACCCAACGGTCGCACAAAAAACATCCATGACCCCGTGGGCAGATCTCGTGCGAAGCAGTGTGGCCGCGCGATCTCTCGAGTTGGGTCGATACGTGGTGGGCTGGGCCGGACTGGGCTAGGACGAGGACAAATCCGTTCCAGAGCGTTCCGGAATTCTCTGAGAAAGGCCACGGCGCCCGAAGCATTCTCCAAAGCCGCCATATTTGAGAGATTCTCGATTTATCCTCACCCGATTTAATCTTCGAGCCGGCTTCGTCTTCCGCTGGGGCTCTGGGGAGGGGCCAGGGCATTCCAGCATGGTCATGCTGCGTCGGCGCCAAGGGTCTTCCTGCCTCGGGCAGGCAGCAAAACTGTTGCCCTGGAAGCGCCCGGGGCCATTCGAGTGTTCGGGTGCCCCTGGAAGGCTCTCGAGGAGGCCCAGCAGGCGGCAGGAAACTGGGGCCAGAACAAGTGAGGGCGCGCCAGTCAGCAATTATCGTTTAACCGACCCCTATCCCCATCCCCATCCCCATCCCGAGCCAGACGATCTTAGCACCCCAGTTGGCGACATAGGGGGAGTAAATCGGCTATTGCGGCCCAGGCCACGCCGTTGGGAATAGGGCTCGGATAAACGATGTTCAGCCAACAACAGTCTTGGTCGGAGGTGGACAGACCTCCTACCTACCCTGACACGTCGATTAAGGAATTGGCCGTTTTCGGTTCGCGAGAGGGCGTCGCGGCCGTCATTTCTGCGGGTCCAGGTCCGTCGATTTCGGCCCTAGGTCTTTTTCACAAAGGGGAGGTTTACTAAAGGGAGGTTTGTCCACCGCCGACTTGGAGCCTGGACAGTGGCACCAGCACGAACACAGCGGGGTGTCTACACCAAGGGGGAGATGGTGCCAGATTTTGTGGTGCTGGTGGTATTCGTTCGGCTACAGAATAGGGATCACATTGCGTCGGTGGGTGCAGCCGCCCATGCTGGTGCTCTGGTGCCAGCCTCTGAGCCGCCTGGCGGGCTTCGCAGGGCGGGCTGCGCGCCGCGTCGCGCAGCCCCCCAACGTGCCCGACAAGGGGACTCCGCACCGTGCGCCTGCGACCGCGCATGCCGCCCGTCCTCCTCCTCCTCCTCCTCCTCCTCCTCCTCCTCATTCTCCTCCTCCTCCTCCTCCCTTCCTCCTCCTCCTCCTCCTCCTCCTCCTCCTCCTCCTCCTCCTCCTCCTCCTCCTCCTCCTCCTCCTCCTCCTCCTCCTCCTCCTCCTCCTCCCCCTCCCTTGGCCATGATGTTTTAACCCTGCCCCCCCAACTGTCTGATCCGGACATGCAGTATGTACAGGGGGAAGGATCTTTGGCAAGTAGTCTGTCAATCGTGAGGAATTGCGGGCGCTGCTGGCCTTCCTCGAAGAGGCTCTTGAGCAAGCCAGGCTGGGGTATGTCGCGGACTCGGCCTATGTTGCCCGAGGTTTCGCTCGAATCCAGGATGGCCTCCAGGAGCAAATTCGGACTCATGCCGACCTCTGGAGCAGTGTCAGGAGCGCTCTGGACAGGTGTGGCGATGTGGTTCTCATTCAGACTCCGAGGCACCTTACTGTTGAGGACGCCGTGCGTAGGGGCCTTAAGCTTGGTGTTGTGCTGGCGAATGCGGTGGCCGACGCTGTGGCTGGCCACTTTTCGAAGCTGGTTCAGGTCCCCTGTGCGGTTTCTGCTCCTGTCCGATTCGCTGATTGGCTGGCTAGTGTGGAATCATTGAGTCGCCGTGATGTCGGATGTTTTGGAGCGAGAGGGCAGACGCCCTCCTCGACCCGCCAAGGTGAAGGTGAGGAGATCGGCCCTTCAGCTCTTGCGCTCAGCTGCGTTGAAGACTGCCCATCAGTGCCCGATGTTGTGTGGAGACTTCGCGCACTGTCAGCAGTGCGGTTGCTCTTCGACCGCTCGATATTCAACTGCTTTCTTGAATTCGCCCAGCACTCCCACGGTCTGCTTTGGATCGGTTTTTCGTCCGACGGCTACGGTGTGTGTTTCCGAAGTCGTGCTGCGGACCCGTCCTCTGCGTTAGCCGACTGGTCTGAGGTTAATCTGTTGCGGTGCCTCACATGTGGAGTTCACTCGGCCCAGCTCCTCAGAGACCGTGGGTCGAAGTGCAGTGGTCGCCTCGAGAAGGCGGGAGCTCAGAACCTTTCCAGCACTGCCCAGGGCAAGGTGCCTGGGGGTACTGTTGATTGTGGGGCCCCAAGAAGTCTCGACCCATTCCCAGGGATGGGCTTCTCAACTTGGGCAGTTGTTTGACGGTCCCGGCGCGGCGAAGCGTCTCCGTCTTTCTGTTTGTCGACCCGTTTGATCTCTGGGAAAGCCAATTTGTGAGGCTCCCGCCTTCGAGAACCTCCCCGCCCCGAGCCCAGGCTGCCGGCGACGCCGACGGAGCCCAGCTGCTGCCCGCGATTGCGAGGTGCGCCTGCGGCCCTCTCGGGCGACGACGCGGACGCTGCTGGCCGACACCCACGACGACGTTTCTGCGGACGCCTCCGACGCCGCCGCCGCCGCTGGCGCTGCCGACGACGCCGACGACAACGACGACGACGAGAGCGACGAAGACGGAAACGACGTCGACAGTGCCGTCGACGACGACGACGACGACGACGCCGACGCAGCCGACGACGACGTACGCCGCCGCTGCCCACGCCGCCGCCGACGACGACGATGACGATGATGCCGACGACGTCCGCGCCGAGATGCGCCTGCGGCCGCGCCTACGCCCCGGGCGAGCGGTTCTGCCAGTTCTGCGGCGCGCGGCGGCGGCAGGCGCCCGGGCGGTGGCGACGACGCGGCCTCCCGCCGACGACGCCGCCGTCGGCCTCCGATGTCGACGACGCCGCCGACTTCGGCGACGACGGCGATGTCGCTGCCACCTGTGCTGCCGCCGCCGACGCCGACGACGACGATTACGACGATTACGACGGCGACGACGACGACGACGACGCCGACGACGACGACGACGACGACGACGACGACGACGACGACGACGACGACGACGACGACGACATCTTTGACGCAGACGCCGACGCCGATGACGACTACGACGACGACATCGTTTACGACGACGACGACGACGACGACGACGACGACGACGACGACGACGATGCCGCCGACGACCACGCCGTCGACGACGAAGCCGCGCGGCGGCGGCGGGTGTCCTGGGGGCGCAGGAGCCTGCCGGGACCCCTGGAGTCCTCCAGGGCAGCCCTCCGCCAGCGTCTTGAGATGGTTCCTTCGAAGAGGAGGTAGCAGGGAAGTAGCAGGGGGAAATTAGCAGCCATGACCCCCTTCGCAGAAAAGGGCGGTCGGGTGCGTCATGAGACAAATGTCAGTCGGTTCGGGGGCAATGCTCGGCGTCGGGAGGCGCTTCTGGGCCACGCGAAGCTCAAACACTCCTCAGGAACGACATGGGCAACCCTGGGCAGGGGTCGAGAGCTCAGGGGGGGTGCCCGTACGTGTCGCAGTGTGCACATCGAAGGCGTGGGCCAGAGGATGCCAACGATGTTCAGAAGGAAAAAAATCACACAGACACACTTAATCGTCGATTCCCCAGAAAGTATGGGAGAATAGGGGAAGTGGGGGGGAAGACAAAAACCCAGGAAATGTTAGGAACTATGGGGAATCCTTTTATTTGTGTGTATTTATGTGTGTGTGTGTGTCCCAGGGCCCCTTCAGATGTTTCTGTTGGGTCGCCCTCGGCCTTTTCCATCATCTGGGATCGCCTTGTCGCCGATGCGGGTTCACGCAGCTCGGCCAGACTTACCAGGACGGTGCGTGCGGAGGTTCTGGAGAGTGACCTCGTTGAGAAAGCGACGGATCGACCCAGACGTCCGGATTCAACACGCTGGCGTTGCACCCTTTCTGCGTCTCGGGGGGATCTCCTGGGCGTGAGGTGATAATTGCGCAGAGGGAGGGGCGGCAGAAAACTTGGATCGGGAGGGGAAGGGAAGGAAGGGGGGCGGGAGGGAGGGGTGAATGAATGAGTGAGTGAGAACAGTCGCGATGCGAGTCGAAACGAACTACGAGCGCTTACGAGCGAGCATCTCGGCCTTGCTTGAAGCCTTCGGCCATCGATCGTATTCAATCCGATTTGAATACTCAGCTCGGTTCGCATTCGTTCGCCTGGGACATTCCTGACCAAGACTTCTGAGGACACAACTGGCATAATGCCCGCACCGTGAGCAAAACCAGAGCCCCAAGGATTGATGCAGACGCATTCTGTGTCTACTGTGTACCCAGCCCCCCTACATGTAATTTAACCCCCGACGGCCACGCAAAGAACCTACCATCGACAGGAGTGGGTCTAAAACACTGTGTGAAATCCACTGGGCTGTGGAGGCCTGGGAGGGAGAGCTACAGCAGACCTTTCAAGGCTTGCCATAATCATCGAGAACGTGACTGGTCGCAAACTGCCTACACACCGACTGGGCTGGAGGCGGCGGTGGTTCACATGCCTCCTCTCTTTTCGTCAGCGGTCCATCTTTTTGCACCAGTTCGCCCTCTGCCCCCAGAGCATCAAGTGTGGCTCTGATCAGTCCCAACCGTATCTGATACACCTCCTTCTCGAGCGTAGGTACACGATGCCTCTCGGTCTCGGCTGGCCTGACTCGGCGTGCCGCACTTGCTGCCATGCCGTCAATTGCCGCGTTGCCAACAAGCAGTTGCCACGGCGCAACTCCTCGAAGCATCTGCTGCGGTGAAAGATGCGAAATCACGAGCGACACCACGAATTCAGCCTGACGGCGCTCAGCCAACGCCACTCCGATTGTGTGCCACAGGTCGGCATCCTCCCCACTGGGTGAGGTGTATCTCCGTGCGCACCAGCCGTCAGCAACTCCACGATTGTCTTTGACAAGATGCACGCGCCCGCTGGACATCCTGAAGGCGACGAGTAGCGCAAACAGCTCCCCCCTGGGGACACTGCCGTACCCCTGGGAGGCCCCCCGACACCGTTCAGTCAAGCGCTGAGGGGTCGAAGCTGCTCGCGCTGATGACCGCAGGGGAGCGAAGGGTGGGGGGAAATCTGGGCCTGGATCGAGAAGCGGGAGCTCTGGGGCCCGCCTCGCTCAGAGGCCGCGGCTATTTGAGGTCTGGGGTCGCGACGTCTGGCTGCTGGCCTCCCCCCTCAGCCTCGCGGCGGGTTGTGCAGGTGTACCATCTTCGCCACCGCAACGAGGTAGCAGAACGATCGAAGAAGGAACACAGCCACGCTCGCAGGACAGCCTTGCGACGAACTTGAGTCGTGTTCATTATCGCTGTCCGCTCGCATCTCCTCCAACAGAAACCAGAAGAATCGAAGAAAGAAGGGTGGATCCCGCCCAGCGCAGCCCAGATTGCCCAAGCCGCTGATGAACGGGCCGCTCCCAGGAGGAGGAGGTGGGATGAGGGAGGCCAGGTCAGGTCAGATAAATCCTGGAAGTCTTCTCGTGACATCAGCCGTGCCATTCGGAGACTGTGAGCTCCGTCTTCGCGATTTTCACTCTCGATCTGAAAACCGCTGCTGAGCCAAAATGGCCTCTCGAGAAGTGCTCATGCTGCCCCTCCTGGGCGAGCCGCCGATCAGGCGTGCAACCTCGACGGCTACCCTGTGGGCGCTCCCTCCCCACACCCCGGAGGCGGATGAGCCCGAAGGCGAGGACGACGACAAGAATGAAGACGGTCTCGACGGTTCGAGCGTCATGGGAGGACGAGGAGGAGGGGGAGGAGGAGGAGGAGGAGGAAGAGGAGGAGGAGGAGGAGGAGAAGGAGAAGGAGGAGGAGGAGGAGGGGAGGGTGGCATGAGGCCGGAGAAGGAGGAGGACGGCGGGAGGAGGTGGCTGAGGGAGGAGGCGGATGACTCCCCCTCCTCCTCGGTCACTCCTCCTCCTCCTCCAGCAGCTTCCACAGCCCGCGGTCAGGCCGGGGACCCCGCGATCCTTCGGCTCGAGTCCCCCATGCAGGACCCCTCGGGGGGGCTCCCGCCACGCTTCCTCGCGGTCGTCCGCTCTTGCCGCGGGGTCGCTGATCGCAGGTGCGAAAGCTCCTTTGTGCATAGCTTGCCTCCCCTGCGAGGTAGAGGAGGAGGAGCAGCACGTGGGAAGGAGGTGGAGGAGGCGGCGGAGTAGGAGGGTAGGAGGAGAAGGCGGAGGATGAGGAGGAGGATAAGGGAATTGGAGGAGAAGGGGATGAGCCTCGAAAATGAGGAGGCCGAGGAGGGGGAGGAGGAGGAGGAGGAGGAGGAGGAGGAGGAGAAGGAGGAGGAGCAGCAGCACGTAGGGATGAGGAGGAGGGGTAGGGGAGGAGGAGGAGAAGGAGGAGAAGGAGGAGGAGGAGGAGGAGGGAAGAGGAGGGAATATGTGGAGGAGGAGGGGGCCGCAGGAGGAGGAGGAGGAGGAGAAGGTAAGTAGGCGAAGACAAGTGGAAAACGAGGGGCAGGTGGAGGCGACGCAAGGTGGGAGGAGGCGCCGTTCACGTTACTCGCAGCTGTGCATAGGTTTTCGAAGGTTTGCGAAAGGCTGGCCATGGTTCCCCCAGTCTGTTTCACTTTGCGATGGCATCCACAGCGTGCCCAAGAGCACGTGTTTTGTGGAAGGTGCACGCTACCTGATGGTTGCTGGCTGGCTGGTTCCTCGTGGCTCGGGCGCTGGCTTGCCACACCTATTTGTATGTGGATGCATGCGGTAATCTGCCAACGCTGTTGCACGGTAGTGCGTCGATGCTGCGCCGATCTGGCGAATTGTAATGTGTTGCATGCACCAATATGTGTTGCCGTTTGCAATGTTGTGGCTTGGTATGCAAGGGCACGGTATGCAGTTTGATGATACGTTATGCGATGCAATCCGTGCGATGCTTTACCGTCCCACGCTACGGTATGCGTTGCTATCAGTTTATGGTATGCGAGGCGACGTCATGCTACGCATTGTGATATGCGAAGCCTTGTATCGCATGGTACTGGTAGGGCTGCTTATTGTGTCGTTGCACGTGTACTCTTATGGCAACCAGCCATGGTACTTCTATCTGAGGGTGCGCCAGGTTCTTCGCAAGAGATTTTGGGAATTCGGAGAATCCCAGAGATCCTCGGACGTTTCGAATGGATGATGTAGGTAATTGCTGATTCAGGTGTATATCGGGACTTCTTGGAGAGGAGGACCGCCCCCTGCAGCCCTTCTCCATGACCCAAGTGTTGGCGCTAAACGTTTAGAATTCTCAGAAACTTGTCCTTGGTCAGACACTTCTATCCCATTTCTAGAGCTTCTGGTTTGGATAATTTGTTACTTGTAATGCTAGCCCCTCGGATTGAGACGTGTACTGTATTGGAAAGGCCTTGCGACCGGCGCCGCCGACCCTGTGTCTGGCCCTGGTTCGTGGTCTCGTTTATTCTGGCCCTGTGTCGTGGTCTCGTTTTCTCTGGCCCTGGTTCGTGTTTTCGTTCCTTGTTTTCTCGGCGCCTGGGTCGTGGTCCAGTTTTCTCGGACTCTGGTTCGTTTTCTCGTTGTCTCGTTTTCTCGGCTCCTGGGTCGCGGTTTCGTTTTTTCGGACGTTGGTATGTTTTCTCGTTGCCTCGTTTTCTCGGCCCCTAGTTCGTAGTCTCGTTTTCTCGGGCCCTGATTCCTTTTTTTTCTTTTCATGTTTTCTCGGCCCCTGGGTCGTGGTCTCGTCTTCTAGGACCGATATTCGCGTTTTCTCGGCCTGTGTCGTGGTCTCGTTTGCTCGGACCTTGGTTTGTTTTATTGTTTTCTCGTGTTCTCGGCCCCTGGGTCGTTATCGTGTTTCCTCGGACCCTGGTTCATTGTCTCGGTTTCTCGTTTTTCGGCTTCTGGGTTTTTGTTTGGGTTCTCGGGCCCTGATTCGTTTTCTCGTGTTTCTCGTTTTCTCGACCTTTGGGTTGTGATCTTGCTTTCTCGGGCCCTGGTTCGTTTTCTCGTTGTCTCGGCCCGTGGGTCGTGTTTTCGTTTTCTCGGGCACTGGTTTGTTTTCTCGTTGTCTCGTTTTGTCGGCCCCTGGGTCGTGGTCTCGTTTTCTCTGACCCTGATTCGTTTTCGCGTTTTCTCGGCTCCTGGGTCGTGGTCGCGTTTTCTCGGAGCCTGTCTCGTTTTTTGAGACCCTGGTTTGTTTTCTCATTTTCTCGGCCCCTGGGCCGTGGTCCCGTTTTCTCGGACCCTGCTTCGTTTCCTTGTTTTCTTATCCTCTGGGTCGTGGTCTCGTTTTCTTTGACCCTGGGTCGTCGTCGTCGTCGGTCGCGCGTCGTCCGTCGTCCGTCTTTCGTCGCCATCTTCGTATGACCTCGTCCTTCTCGTGACGACCACGACGAGGTCATGCGAAGACGGCGACAATGACGGCGACGGCGGCGACAACGACGACGAGGACGACGACGGCGTCGTACGAAGACCTCGAGCGACGGCAACGACTACGGCGACGGAGGAGGATCGTCGGGCAGAGGGAGCTCAAGGGAGGGGGTGGTAGCTTCCAACAGGGGGGGTTCAAAAGGGGGGGGTAGCTAAGCCCTCTCACCTTTGGAAAGTGGGGGAGAGAGGGGTGACGAGTAGTCAGGGTCGCGTTGCATGGGGTCGCGGCGATCCTTGGACCTATTTTTCAGCGGCTTGTGGATGCCCCTTGACAGGGCATCCAGGGTGCGAGCGCAGGACGTGGTCCGCCAATTCGCACGCGCCGCCGCGCTTGTCGCGGAACAGAGCAGCAGCATTATATTCATGGGCTCGTTTCCTTTAGCAAAGGGCTCCTTCAAAATAGCAGTGTGGATTTCACACTTCCCAGACGATGGTGGCGCCAATGTGCAGGCCATGAAGGCCGTGGGAGGATTTCGGCATGCGCGCGCGGCCAACGGGCGCGAGTGGCCCACGAAGGTTGTTCGACAGGGATTGCACCCCCTTCACCCCCCCCCCTCCCAACACGCTCGCAAGGGCGTGCGGATGATCTCGACATTGGCGGCGATGCTGACACACGCGTGGTTCCACGCAGCATTCGCAAGGGCGCGCGCGGAGATCCTTGTTGAATGACTCGTGTTGCACAACCATTCACTGTTTGGTGGTTGGTATGTGTTCTCCCCACTCGGTTGGCACATCTCTACAAGACATCATGTTCTTTTTCTTTCAAGGATGTCAGCATGCGAGCGCGACGACGCGCGCGTACTTCGTCGCATTTGTTTTGCAAGTGGCGTTTGACAGCTCGTCATCTGTGATGAACGAGTGGGCGCACACCAGATTCTGTGGCAAGTCGCGAGGAGGGGGGGGCGATGCTGGCTTGCCTGGGGTGGTACGAATGCATGTTCAAAATGGACGACTGGCAGTGCCATTTGTAACCTGCAGCGCGCGAGGAAGGGGGGAAAAATCATCCCTGAGAGGGGGATAGGGGTGAAGTCGAATACCCTTTCCGGAAACAGGGGATATTATGGGTGCGCACTATGTGGTGCGTTCGACGTTGGGTAATCTGGGTAGTGCGGTCGACGTGGTGTTGTCCATGTTGCAATCGTTTTCTTCGAGGCTGACGCATTCCATGCTCTTGCAAACATCCCACCCAGTCACGCGCAACTTGATGTGGAAACCCAGGCGGAGGCTGTGGTGCATCTCTACGGCCGCGCTTGCGCCCGCGTGCTCGCGCGCGCAGCGGCCAGCTAGCATGGCGCGACCGACGCGGCCGCGATGGCGCTGACCCTTGGGCGAATCCCAGCGGGCACTTCAGCGCGGGTCGGCGAGTTGGGCGCGCGCGGTTTCATCGCGACGCCGACAACGAACGGTATACTCGATTATTGAAGTCGCGACAATGGCGTCGATGGTGGCGTTGACGACGGCAAGGCCAACGACGGCGACGATGTAAATCACGCCAGCCGACGGCCATAACGACGTCTGCGGGTCGGCGCCGAAGTTGTTTTGCAGAAGTTCGTCATGCGCGCGCGGCCGAAGCGCTCGACTGGCCCGCGCGCCATGATGAGGCACGGGCCGTGCCCCCCCCTCAAAAACACGCGCGCGAGGTTCCCCGAAAGAATTCGACATGCCGCGCGAGAGGCCCGTTTGATAGCATGTGGTGGACACGCTGAACAGATTGAAGTTTTGTTCCAAATCCGCAAGGCCGTGAGCGCCGGAATTTTGCGAGATTCGACGTTGCCGGCCCGCGCGATTTGATTTTTCATATAACGAAAAATCTTCGCGAAACCCAAGGTTTGCGAAGGATTGCGGCGATCGCGCGGCGACGCGCGCGCGTGCACTTCGCCCCATTGTTCCAAAGGGGTTCTTGCGACAGCACGCGCGCGAGGGCGTTCGAACGATTCCACCGCGCGCGCGAGAGGCACTGTTGGGGCGCATGGCATGAACATGTGGAGGAACTTCTTTGGGTTTGTTTCACATATTTGCAACATCTCGGGAGCTGTTTTTTTCCTGCGGGTGAAACGCGCGTTTCGAAACCGTGCGCGTTTATTCATGATCTGGACTCGGTTTTGAAATCCTGGCGTAACTCTAGGCTTCTGAAGGATTTGCGCGCGCTTGACGACGCGCGCGCGTGCTTGTCGCCATTTGTGTCCCGATGAATTTGTGGAGCCTGTTGAACATTTGATAGACGAGTGTGCGCGCAAACTGCTGGTTGCAGGGGATGACGGGGGGGGAGAGGGGGCGTTGCCTGACCTGCCTGAGATGACACGACTTGTCAAGTCCACTGCTCGCGCGATCATCGCGCCCGCCCGCCTGCACATTGGTTTGCAAAACCCATCCAGCGGTCATTGCCATGAGTGCTGGTCGCTGGTTGGTGCATCTCTGCGGCCGCGCTAGCCCGCGCATGTTTGCACGCGCAGCGGCCAGCTAGCTTGGCGCGGCCGACGCTGCGGCGGTGGCGCTGACTTCTGAGCACTTCTCAGCGGGCACATCAGTTCGAGTCGGCCACTTGGGCGGGCGCGGAATCATGACAACGTCGACAGATGCAGACGCGATTCTGATAATTGCGGCGGTGGTGGCGACGATGACAACGGCCAGTGATGCCGCCGACGCTGCTAACGGCGTTGCTGATCACGCAGGTGACGATGATGGCGTCCTCGCGTCGGCGATGAAGGTTTTGGAAGGAGTTCGACATGCGCGTGCGGCCGACGCGCGACAGTTGCCCACATGGTATTCTGTGACACGGATCGTTCCCCCGAGCACGCGCGCAAGGGCGTTCGAATGATTTCGATATTCGGCGCGAAAAAACGGATTGGCCGAAAGTAGTGTCGACTGTCGAGAACAATGCTTTTCAAGGAAATCGCAGGAGCGTGGGTGGATTTCATTTTAAAATGAATGTGATGAACCCAGGTGGTTTTATATGTTTACGGGGCACCCAATTTGGCAGTCTTTACGCAGCCGGTTGTTTCTGAAGGATTTTAACATGCGTGCGCGACGACGCGCGCGTGCGCATGTCGTCGTATTTTTCCAAGTGTTGATTGAAAGCTGATGACTATTGAAACGCAGGTGCGCGCGCACAGCATGTTCTGCACAGGATAAGGGGGGCAGTGTTACCAGTCTGGCTGGGGTGGTACGTGTTGAAATTTTGAGTGGAGGATGGGACAACCTTAATTACAACTTCCCATACGAAACAATAGAGTGCAAGACACATTAGTATACCATTCGCGTCCGAATGAACATGTGTCATAGACTCAGTGGGCCCCGGAAACGGCAGGGCCGTTTTTTTCCTTGTTTCCACCAACGTGTCCCTGGCAAATGGAAACGGCAAACAAACGGCGAATGGAAACGGCAAAAAAACGGCTCCAGGATTGGAGCCGGAGCCGGAACCAGTCAAACAACGGCGACGAAACCGGTAAAACAACGGCGTCGGAACCGGTAAAAAATTGCAAAACGGAGCCGGTAAACAAAAAACGGCCTTGTCATTTCCAGGGCCCATTAAGATAGTTGTCCCAGCGGCTGCTTGTGCGAAGGAGCACGATGTCGACACCCTGCTGCAGGACGCTACCCACTTTCTTCCAATTGCTCCATGGGCATGGCAGCCCAGTTGCGATCGCTTGCCATGAAATCCCTAAGTTGTGAAGGACAATGTTCAGGTGGGTTGGTTGGCAGACTGTCTGGAAGCAGCCCCATGCGTGTCGCGGTATGTTTCGCAGAGTTAGCACGCAAGCGTTGTATCATTCGCCTCCGTTGCACGGCGTGGCATTGTTTCCGATTCGCACTCAATGTGATGGGCTCGTGCTTGGGTTGATGCTGGTTTTCCTGACCTTCGGCGTCCGATTGCGTGTTGCTTTGCCTTTCCCAGACGTGTTATGCCGACCGTCGTCGACCTCTGCATACTGGCAAGCTTGTCCTGATGTGTTTGTTTCGTGGAGACACCGGTGCGCAGTGGAACGTGCCCCACATCATGTAGATTCCGTGCACGCGCGCGAGCCTTGCGCATGCAAAGGAGTTGGGCCTGGCCTGAATTTCTACATTAGTTGCTGTACAGCGCCGGGGGGCGCTGAGCTGTAGAATCTGCAGTGCCCTCTTGTGAACTTCGCTTCGGACCTTAGCTTTCCTACTGTTTCCGCGAGGTTCGCTATGTATATCGATCCTCTCCCTTGCCCTGTAGCTTTCTTAGAGCGCGCTGAGTCCTGACAACGCACGATGTTGGGCTGCTTCGGGCCCGACAGGAAAATTTCGACATGAGCAGAGAGGTCCCCTCTGATCCCACTTCCGCTCTCGTTCGTCTGACCGCGGCGTTCCCCCGCAACGATGTGTACCACCGACTGCCTCGAAAAGATGAAAGCGTGGTTCAGGAGCATAACATGTATATGATAGTACACATGCCATAACACGTCCCTCGCTTCATGGAGGGACGCGTGATGGCATAGGACCTTCATTGTGTGATCAACGCGCTCATTCCATCAACCACTCAGGACTTTCGCCTGCTTGCACCTTCAGTTGACTTGCGTGTTTTTTTGCCCCACTTGTTTTCCAGTAGGTGTTTGCATTGCACGGGTCTTCGCGGAGATTGGAAGGGTTTGGCGCATGGTTATGGCCGATTCCTGTAAACGGACGATCGCTTGGGCTCCCAGGTTTTGGAAGTCTTGTCGATTTGGCGAAAGGTTCCTGCCGATTTTGCTAGGCAGCCTAGTCCCCGGTTTCTTGGGTCCTTGAGATTCTCCAAGCCGTAAGGGAGTCTTCGCTGAGGTTGTAAGGACTTGATTTGGCGAGAGTTCTCGGCTGATTTCGGTGGGCGGCCAGATCCCCAGATTCCCTGGATCACGGCTGCCAGGATTGCCAAGGTTCCGAGGACGTTTTTGGCAGACTTCGGTGGCTGACTAGATTTTGTCGAGTTTCGAGGTTCCCACGAGTGTGCAGCCGAATTACACGGGCGGTTTGTATCCAGGGTGCTTGGGTTGTGCGTTCCATATAATATCCCGAGTTCCTTGTATGTCAAGGATTTGGCAGATGAGTGGGAGGACTGATAATACAACATACAGAGTAGAGAGCAAAGCATGTAGAGGAGGGAGTAGAGAGTAGAGGCTCAGAGTGTACAGGGTATGGACAAGCACAGCCGCCATGCCTTGCTCTCGCCCGCCACCAGTACGATGCCTTTTCACTCGGCACGCACGGGCGATTGATCTGGGTGTTTTCTGCTGCAATGCTGTACATCACCGTGTACCACATCGGCCACAGGCGTCATCTGCAGGAGCCTTTCTCGATGGTCGTCGGGGCCTGCTCTAGGTCGAGTTCCGAGCCTCTGCCTTTGTGGAGGCATGTGCGGAGCCCTGGGTTGCTGAGAACTTCCTTCATGTGGATGGCGAGTGCGACTTTCTAGGTCTCCCAAATGAGGGTCCGAGCAGATGGGGTCGGAGTATCGCGCCGCATCGTCGAGGCATCGGTGATGCGGCTCGATGTAGAGCCCCACTTTCTCTGCGCCGACGCCGCCGATACACCGCCGACCCCATCAACTCGGACCCCATTTAGGAGATTTGTAGGCTCCTGTGCGCGTAAGAACACCCAGAGACATAAAAAGCCAGCCTGGCAGGGCTCCGCGGAGGCACTGGCCACGGCATGCGCGCAGGTATTGGTCGGCTCCTGGGCATCACAGCACGGGTGCAATAACACAAAACACTTCATTGTCTGAGTTCTGGAACTTGGCAGACGTCTTGCACAATGAGTGGTGCGCGCTGCTGTCGTGCAGTTTCCTCTCTGAGCCGCAGCATGCCATGGATATTACACCTTGCGAGGCCATGGCGTGCAGTAGCAGATCTGATTTCCGTGATAGAAAATGCGCTTATTGTCGCAGTTGGGAAACGGCGGCATGCTTTCAATCACGTGGCTCACTGATCCACTTGCCATTCAGGATGCCGGTCGCCAAATTTGAATCGACGCCTGTCCAGCAACATCACTCCCGGATATTGTTGCTGGTCACTACTCGCAGCATTGATGTACGTTTCACGGCGGCTGGGCATGTTATCAACAGCGCAACGCTCTTGTTGGCAGTGTATCAGTGGAGGCATCGGAACAAGCTTGTCTGAAACTGAGTCTGCGTACCTCAAGAGGCACAATGAATCGTCGACTCTCAGGAAAAGGTGGGAAAACACGAGGGAGTGGCGGGGAAGACAAAAACCCAGCTAGATTTGAAACTGGAACCTCGGGGTGTGCCTGGGCCACTTTAACATCGGGTTCCCATGGGCGAGGCAGGGGCAGCGACCCCCCCACCCTCAGCGGCAGAACGTTGAGCGTGTGTTCGGGATGACGGGGAGACTCCTTCTCGAGGCCTCCATGGCAGCGATCCCGGTCGTCTGATGGCTTTGGGTACGCAGTCGCTTGGGTACCAGGGGGGCGGGGGTGTTGGTACCGTTTCTCGTCCAGTACCACTGGTGCTTCTGGGCGCTCTGATCAGTTCCGCACATGCGCGGTAGAAGGAGGGGCACGAATAAAGCACAAGATGTGCCACACCCACCCTTTTCTCGCCCATGTTCTTGCCATACTTCTCATACTGCTTGAACCTCCTGGAGTCTATTTTGGCCCAGCCGGCATCAGTGTCGCTGTGGGCCCGTTGTGACTTTTGGGCGGATGTTCGTGTAAGCCACGCGTTTATTTGCCCAGGGCCATGCATAAGTACAGGTTGGTCGCCAAGAAGGGCGAGGGCACTTTCTCAGAGGTGCTGAAGGCTCAGTCCATCAAGACAGGGAAGCATGTCGCAATCAAGTGTATGAAGAATCATTTCGACAGCATCGACCAGGTCAATAATCTCAGAGAGATTCAGGCTCTGCGCCGCCTGGCTGGACACCCGAACATCATCAAGCTGAACGAGGTGTTGTATGATGAGCCCACAGGGAGATTGGCCCTTGTCTTCGAACTCATGGAGATGAACTTCTACGAGGCGATCAAGGGTCGCAGGCACTATCTTCCAGAGCAAAAAGTGAGGCATTACATGTACGAGACGCTGAAGGCGCTTGACCACATGCACAGGAATGGTATTTTTCACCGCGATGTGAAACCAGAAAATCTACTTCTCCTCGATGACGAAGTGAAGCTGGCGGATTTAGGCAGTTGCCGGGGCATCTATTCTCGCCAGCCGTTCACAGAGTACATCAGCACCCGCTGGTACCGGGCGCCCGAGTGCCTGTTGACCGACGGCTATTACAATTTCAAGATGGACCTCTTTGCGGCAGGGTGTTCAGGAGGTAAACCACACAGACACTATTAATCTTCGATTCCCCAGAAAATATAGGAAAATATGGGAAGTGTGAGGGGGGGGAGACATGAAGCCCCAGAAAATATTGGAAAGTATGGGAATATTTTTATTTGCGTGTATTTATTTGTGTGTCCCAGGGCCCCTTCAGGTGCGTCAGCTTCGAGCTCGCGGCACTCTTCCCGCTGTTCCCCGGCTCGAACGAGACGGACCAGATACAGAAGATCCACAACGTGCTCGGCACTCCCTCGCCAGAGCTGCTGACCCGGAAGTTCAGGCGCAACGCCTCTCCTCCTCCTCCCCGGTCCTCCCCCTCCTCCTCCTCCTCCTCCTCCTCCTCCTCCTCCTCCTCCTCCTCCTCCTAGTTCAGGCGCAACGCCTCTCACATGGATTTCAATTTTCCCGAGAAGAAGGGCACCGGCATCGAGAGGCTGATCCCTCACGCGGACGCCGAGCTCACGGAGCTCATGAAGAAGCTCCTGCGGTACGACCCCGACGAACGCATCCTGGCCCGCCAGGCGCTGAAGGATCCGTACTTCCGCGACCTGCGGGACGCCGAGAAGGAGATGGCCGCCTCGAGCTCGCAGAGCGGCTTCCGCCGCGGTGGGGAGACGTACAACGGCGGCGCGGTGGCTACCGGCGGGAGCTCACAGAGCAGCTTCCGCCGCGAGCCGCACAAGGTTCGGGAAGCAAGCGAGGGCATAGGTAAACATAACAGGTCCGCGCGGTTTCCTTGGATCGGAGCTGGACCCCACCCCTCAGGCGCACGGAGACCGCTAGGGGGTCCCAGCGCCGATTCGAGGCATCCGCGCGGACCTCAGAGTTTTTATGTCTATGTACCTAACTCTGTGTTCCCCTAAAGGTGTCCATCAGCTCCTCGAGCGAGGTGGAGCACGGCGACGGCGAGGATCCCACGAAGGAGGCGCCGACGCCAGCACCGGCCGCCGCCTCGGCGGCGGGTGCGGCGGCGGGTGCCGCTGCGGCATCGTCCGTGGAGGATCGTGGCGGCGGGCTGCCGAACATCAAGCAGGAGCTCCGAGAAGAAGAAGGTATTCATACGGCTACCATTCCCTCGTCTGTCCTTTTTCGGGCCTCCTGGGGGGCTCTCGCCGCCACCGCTAGATTCGAATCCTGGTCAGAACGTACCCCTGGAGAGCCCCGGGGGAGCAGCGGTATCGGTATTGCTTGGGTTCCCCAGGAGCGTCGCAAGGGCGGCGGCGGCAACAGATCCGAGAACGAGTCCGAGAGCGACACCCACGAGGATGGCAGCATGGTGCTGCCGCCGATCGGCGGGATCAAGGGGAAGCGGGACAACAAGATGAAGTCCCACCAGACCTTCAAGGCGGTTGCGAACGCATCGCTGCAAAAGCTCGGCCCTTAGTGCGCTGGTGTTGTGTTCGGTAGGTGTTGAGTTGCTACTCGTCTTGGTATATATATACACATACATACATACATACATACATACATACATACATACATACATACATACATACATACATACATACATGCATACATACATGTGTATGTATGTATGTTAATGTATGTATGTCTGTCTGTCTGTCTGTATGCATGCATGCATGTAGGTATGTACGTGTGCGTGTAGTGCGCAGCTATGTCTTCACATGAGGATGCGAGGGGTTTTGCTTGCGGGCTTGCTCGATTTCGCGTGCGTCAGTGTAAGTTTGGGAGCTGAATGTTTGAGATGTGCGCTGTGTGTACGAGTGTGCGCACGGCCCGTCTTTCTTAACCCGTCGCCTGCAGCCCACCGGCGCGCTAGATAACAAGTCTTGTGCGCGCGCGTGGATGGCATGCGCCTCTGTTCTCGTTCCGAGCCCGGTCTTCGTCCCACCTGCTGAGCCGCTCGCGTTCCGCCGCGGCGCTCGCTGTGCGCGCCAGACAACAGATCTGTGTGCGCGCGCGTGGATGGTATGCGCCTCTGTTCCTCCTCCCCCTCCTCCTCCTCCTCCTCCTCCTCCTCCTCCTCCTCCTCGACCTCCTCCTCCTCCTCGTCCTCCTCGACCTCCGAGAGATTTTTGTCTCGAGCCCGGTCTTCGCCCCACCTGCTGTGCCGCCCGCGCTCCGCCGCGGCCTCTGGCCTTGTTTCAGGGTCTGCGGCCGCGACCCCACCAGGCAAGAATCAGGAGGGGCAAAAACACACAGACACAAGAAATCGTTCCCTCCAAGGAAAATATGGGAAAAGATGAGAAATACGGGGGATCATCTTATTTGTGTGTATTTATTTGTGTGTCCTGGGGCCCCTTCAAAGAGGTGCGTCCGCGTGCTCCCGTCTCTCGGCAGGGCTCTCGCCAGCCTGCCCAGGACGTGGGGCGAGAGGGGCCCCTGCGTGAGCGCGATCGGCACGCGTGCGCTGACCATTTTGGTGGCTTGTCGCGCCGCAGAGGATCGGCGGCGAGCGAGGGGGGACTTCTCAGAAGGCCCTCTCAGAAGGCGGCGGGACTTCTCAGAAGGCCTCGCGCCTTCTGTGAAGTTTTTTTTGTCTTCGGGGAAGGCTTAGAAAACTTCTCAGAAGTCCCGGGGGACTTCCGAGCCTTCTGAGAAGGCCCGCCCCTACTCACTTCCCCCCCTCGCCCGCCGCCTAGAGGAGGAATATGTGCTCGTGTAAGCAGGGGCGCGCGCGCGCGCGCGCGTCAACATTCACGGTTCCGCTGTCGTCCGCGGTTGCGTTGTTGCCTGCTGACCTGGACGGCCTTCCTGCGTTTCAAGGGTTCTCGGCGCCCGCCTTGGCGCGCAGGTCGTGTGTCAGTGCTCGGCGGCCCCGCGGCAATTATGCAGCCACGGCCGACAGCCGTGAGCGGCAGAGAGGGGGGCAACGCGCCTCGTGCACAGTTCTCTCTTACCACCGACCACCACATCACACCTCAGACCTCATTGTATTTGCGGCCTCTGGATTCAGCTGTTCCTATGTTCAGAGGGGGCGCGCATCAAGAAACCATATGCTTGTTGTTCTGATTTTCCAGGATTCTTCGCTGCACGCGCTGCGCGGTGATTTCTTGCGGCCGTTGAGAAAGATGCTGCGTTCAGGGTGCTCTGGGTTTCCCCCGTGTACATCTCGCGCGCGGATTTTCAGGGCTGGGTGTCTCGCAGGGCTTCTTGCAGCCGCGTCCGCAATGCACTCGCCTGCCTACATTCGACATGTTAGCACCTGTACGTCATGCCGCATACATCCAACCTCCAGCTGATATCATACGCCCGTTTCGCCTGCCGCCCACCCACCTGCTACCCCGCACCTCCCAGCCCAGACGCATTACCTGTGGCCAGCGGCATACCTGCTACCTCATACTTCGTGCACTTTGCCGACCTGCCTCCTTTCGTATACCTCGTGCCAACTCCCCTGTACCATTTCTCAGATAACGTTCTTCCACCCACAACCACACACCTCCATCCGCCTCCTGGCGATATTCTTCGGCCGTCCTCTTCCTCTTCCATTGCAGGGAGTTCAAAACAAACTAGACGGGCATGCCTGGCTTCAGTCTCGCGGACCTTTTCCAACATCCTATGTGTAAATCTTCTTATTTTGCTTCATGCCCTGCCGTCATCGCGCGAGTGGTAGTCGAAAACCTAGTTTTGAAAATGGTGACGGCTATCTTCCCCCACCTCCTATTCCTCCTCCTCTCCCTTCTCCTCCTTCTCCCCCTCCTCCTCCTCCCCCTCCTCCTCCTCCTCCTCCTCCTCCTCCTCCTCCTCCTCCTCCTCCTCCTCCTCCTCCCCCTGGCGGAGGATGCAAAGCGATACATTTGGAGAAATGTTTGGGGGAAGATCTGCGGGAAAATCTGAGGGAGGAAGATCTGGGGAAAGATCTGGCGGAAGATCTGGCGGAAGACCTGGCGGAAGATCTGGCGAAAGACTTGGCGGAAGATCTGGCGGAAGATCAGGCGGAAAATCTGGAAGATAAGTTTGGCGGAAGATGTGGAGGAAGATATGGATGAAGGTTGGGAGGAAGATCTGACGGAAGATTTGGCGGAAGATTTGGCGGAACAGTTTGCAGAAACTTTGCGGGAAGATCTCGCGGGAGATTTGGAGGGTCAATTTGGCGGAAGATACATATAGCGGAAAAAGTGGCGGAAGATTTGACGGAGCATCTCGAGAAAGATTTGGCGGAAGATTCGGCGGAAGATCTCGCGGAACATCTCGCGGGAGATTTGGAGGATCAATTTGCCGGAAGATTTGGCGGAAGATTTGGAGGAAAATCTTGCGGAAGATGTGGTGGAAAATTTGGCGGAATACCTCAAGGATAAATTTGGCGGACGATAGAAGATTTGACGGAATATTTGGAATACGAATTTGGCGGAAGATGTCGCAGAAGATATAGCGGAAGTTTTGGTGGAAGATTTGGAGGAAGATTTGGCGGAAGATTTGGAGGAAGATTTGGAGGAGAAATTGGCGGAGGATTGGGCGGAAGTTCCGGCGGAAGCTCTGGAGGAATTTTTGGCGATTGGCCGAGGAAGCGAGCATCATCTGGCGGGAGGGCCGCTCCCCAGCGGCCCGCCGCCAGGTGTTCGTGAAAAGGCCGGGCCCGCTGCCACGCTTTGGGCAACGGTGGATTCCAGCCACCTCCCACCCCGCCCGGGCTCATAGTCGTCGTCGTCGTCGCAAGCGGCTGCCCCGAGGCCCCCCCAGCTGGGAAATCTCGCCGCGAACGGCATGGCGATGAGCAGCACGATGGGCGCCAGGAGCCCTCGGCGACGACCACGGCGGCGATGGCGACGACAAAGATGATGATCCTCGAACCTCGTTCTCGGGCGAAGGCGGCGGCGACAACGACGGCGGCGACGACAGTGTGGCGCAAGGAGCAGCGCGCAGGCGGCCCAGACTGTGGGCGGCATTCGTTCCTCCTCAAAGGACTTCACGGGCCCCAAGGCAGCCGCTGTCGCCATCGCCGCCGCCGCCGCCGTGACCGTCGTCGCCGTCTGCCGCCGTCGCCGCTGTTGCTGCCCTCGTTGCTGCCATGATCGCCGTCGTCGCCATCTCCGTCGCCGTTGTTGTGTCGCCACCGCTGCCGTCGTCGTCGCCGTTGCCAATACCGTCTTCGTCGTCGTCGTCACCGTGGGAAGCATTCGATGTTTCTCGCAGGCCTTCTGTAGCCTCACTGCCGCCTGCGCCCAGCGGCGGCAATGGAGAACTGAGGCAGGATTCGGAGTTTCGACATGTGTGGTTTGTTGCGTTGTGTGATCACACGCACTTTATCTTATGTGCACATGTAAATACGACCATGCACGTAAGGTTCGACAGCGTTGACACCAAACAGTGACTTTTTGCACGGGGGATATGGATGCTATGCGCTGCATGTTGTCTCGGCTCTGTCATGTGCGTTTTGCGGTGTAAGCTACGCGCATCTAAGCTGCGTCGTTCAAGCTATGCGGTACAATCTACGTGGTGTAAGCTCAGCGCACGGGGCGCCCACGAGTCGGCACGGGGCGGCAAGGTGGTGCAACCTGGGCCGACCCGCCCAGCGCTCGGGACGCCCATGAGCGACCACGAGGCGGCACGGGCGGCAGCGTGGCGCAGCCTCGGGCGACCCAACCAGCGCGCATGGCGCTCACGAGCGCCCGCGAGGCGCACGGGAGGCATCTTGCCACAGCCTCGGCCGACCCAACCAGCACACGGAGCCCCCCACGAGCGCCCACGAGGCGGCACGGGCGGAAACGTGGCGCAATCCCGGCGGACCCACGCAGCGCACGGGGCCTCCACGAGCGCCCACGGGGCGGCATGGGGCGGCGAGGCGGACCATCCTCGACAAACCAGTCCACTCACTTCAGTAGAATTGTAAGCGCTGCTTGGGGATTGCGCATGTGCATCTGCTCAGGATACGTCTTTCGGCACACAACAAAGCTTATTCATTACTGCGTCCCTCAACGTGTACATGTTCAGGCAATGTCTGATCTGCCATGCTACCGACTCCGAACCCCCGTGCTCATATACGAAGCACCCGGCAGTCGCGGATATAAGTGAGGGGGCGGCGGGAACGTCCTGAGCTTGCGAGGCGTTGAGGAAGCCCGCCGCAGGCGCCTGACGTAGCACACCGAGGTCGCGGACACGGGTAACGGGGCGGCGGGGAAGTCGGCAGTCTGCGAGATTCTAAAGAAGCCCGCAGCAGGTCTGCGCTCTACAAATTAAACAACGAGCCCGCCGCAGGCGCCGATTTTTCGTCAAAGCAATGTGACTGGGTCGCGAGGTCGATCGCGGGTGGGTCGCTGGTTGGATCGCGGGTGGGTCGCGGGCCCGGTCACGGGCGGGTTCGCGGGTGGGTCGCGGATGTGTCGCGGGCGGCTCGCGGGCAAGGTCGCGGGCGGGTCGCGGGACGGGTCGCGGGTGGGTCGCGATTTTGTCGCGGGGTGGGTCGGGTAAGGTCGCGGGTGGGCCGCGAGTTTGTCGCGGGCGGGTCGCGGGTGGGTCGCGAGCCGGGTCGCGGGGGGGACGACGACATCAAGCAACACAACAACACCAACAACAACAACAACACCCGCAGCAATAGCAATCACGACAGCAGCAGCAGCACCAACAACAACAACAACACCAACACCAGCAGCAACAACAACAACAATCAGTATTATGTGTAGATTGTTCGTTCTTATCTTGTCGCGTGCTTCTCCCACACGTAAATCCCAAACTCTCGATACCCGCTCTCTGTGTCTTCGATCGTACCCCCTTATGGTCAGATCTTCTTTCCATGCAAATTGTATTTCGTGCAGTCTTCAAGGCAGGGGAAGAGAGAACGGATAAAGGACAGCGCAAAAGGGGGAGGGATGAGGATGAAGCACGAGAGAGAGAGAGAGGCAGGAGGAGGCTAGGAGCAGACAACACGTGGCAGAACCAGACGGGCAGATCGGGCGGGTAGATTCTCACGGGCGGGTCGGGAAGGCGGGCCCGGGCGGCCCAGGCGGCCAGGTCGAGCAGCCGGGTTGCTGAAGCGTGCGTCCAATATGAATCGGGAGGAAGTCTCGAGCGAACGCCCGCTTCCCAAATTAATCG